TCTTAAGCACCTCCTCCTTTGTAAGATTGAAGCTTCTGACAGATAAATAATCACAGAATAATTCGATATCTGTTATCTTCTTCTGCATTCTCATCAGATAAAAATTGTTTATAAACATTTTGAGAAAAAATCCATAATTGTTTCGATGTTTACTGAAATTCACGAAGTAAGGTATATTGCTGTTCGTTTATAATAGTGGTCAATAGCAGTAAGACGTGCTTTATAATGGAGGACATTAAAGTGACAAAATAAGAAATCCGGTTTCCGATCATATAGCGGATACCGCTGAGTTAGTTTTTTTTTCTCAGGTCGAATAATGCCATACTCGGATCCGAAACATAGATTTCCTGGATTTTCTAAGGATCATCATAGAACATAGCAAAAAAGATCGCTCATAAAATTTGCAACAACCGACAAGATTTTTCTAGTCGGATTCCAATGCAATTCCGTTTCCCGGAATCCGATCGGATTTGTTGACCTGGGTTGTTGAATTGGTTATCGCTTAACCATTCTTTCTCCTGAAACAGTTTCCGTTTAACTGATTTTCATCTACAACGGTTTTCATTTGATCGCTTTTTCTTTTGAAGCGATTGTCTATTATCACGGTTTTCTGTAGGCCGGCTTTTATCACCGTTATAGTCCTATAATGGCGTACGAATCTCAGAAATGTGTAGTTGGCTATTGTGCCGTGATCGTTATATAGTGCGGAAGTTTGTGCTTGTTGATGATTCTGTGGGAGTGGTAAGAGCTGCCAAAGGATGGGACGATCTCGTTTATATTCTCAGATTTTCTTACACGTTTTTTTTGTTCATATCATACACTTCAAGTGATTGAGTACGAATAGCATTGCCTTATCTGAAGAATTGCCAATGAACACAGGTGTTCTGACAGATACTAAGAGTTTTGAAGAATGTCCAAATTGACAGAGCGATTAATATAATAGCAAAAACGAATGAGATCTTACGTCGTTCCATTGGTATTAGTAGAAGTATAGTGAGTGAAGATAGTCTATTTCTTTATGTTTAAAATGATTTGTTGTAAAAACGAAGTGAACATTTGCTACAAATAAACCTCTTTATGGTAGAAATTTTTATATAATTTCATATTTTGAAAATTTTTGAAGATCTGGATATTGCTTAGAAGTGGGTTGAACTGTATTTGAACAACTACTAGTTCCTTCGAAACCAGAAATATATGTGAACAGAGCTAACAATAAATAATAGCATTCTACACCTACTCATTAAGAATTGTTTACCCTCATTCGACCACATGCCGATATTAAACATTTTCTATGTTGGGGTCTGTATTGACCCCAACTCAGTTTGAGTAGAATAAAGACAGCAAAAATCCTGTCGAATTTCGAAGCAAGTATAAGGATCGTGTGCAAGACAATACTACAGACAAAATCATATGAATAAAACTTTGTAGCCATGTACAAAGAAACCGCGAAAATCAGATTTTCTATAAGAAATCTGATGGAAAATCGATTTAAATGACACGATTAAATAGCTTGACCGTCTGTTTCGTCGAAATAATCATTTGAAATCGATGAGAATCAATTAAATTAAAAAAAAATTGATTAAAATTCAAGGAGGTCTATTTTTTCATGAAAAATAATGGATTAAAATTAGTTTTATAACAGAATTTAATCGATTTCAATTGAATATTTCGACGAAACTGATGATCCAGCTATTTAATCGTGTCGTTTAAACCGATTTTCATCAGATTTCTTGTAGAAAATCTGATTTTTCACAGATTCTTTTACATGGATATATCCTTTTCTATCTATTTTTCTTATCTTTCTTAAAACTCCTTACACACGTCGTAAATGATTTTCTGATGATCTGGGGAGGTTCTCTTGTGAGTATCAATGAGAGTCACAATTTGAGCATTTAGTGATAATTTTTCTGTTGCGTGGTATGGGACAAACGTGACCAGGTCGTCTTCCATCGGCTTTGTATGCAGTGGTTTTGGGGCGAATCATTGAAAGTTTAATACTTTGCATTGCGATTCGAACACTTTGCTGAGCTGCACGTGGATCTTGGCAACGTTGATTGAGTTGATCATTGGATGAAGGTGCGTTCAAGTTGTCGAAGAAACAATCGAAGACAATATAGTTTGTTATTGTTCCCCTCTGGGCTCTTTGTTGTCTATGTAACAGGTTCAAACCAAATGAAATGTCAGTCACTCATAACATTCTATATAAATGTTCAGGATATTTCTGGAAACAATTGAATTCATCAAAAATTAAATACAGACAATATCACAACAATTATGCGGGTATAATTAGTTTTATTCTTTGGGATCTATTTCGACCCTATTTTACGAAAACACGTTGATAAACTGTGATATATTTTACTGTATTAAAAACGTTCAAAGAAAATGAACTAATATCATCCCTAAGTTAGTTTAACCCTCTTCGTAGTATATGTGTAAGCAGGAAATTCTATCCTTTACTACGTTCGAACCACGCAAGTTGCACTTGAGATGGGATCCGAAAAGGCCCTAGGTAGTCGTATGAGAGTTAAGTGATCATAAAAACTCATTTAGCTCGTCTATGATGGCGTTATGATAGATAGGTCGTTATCTCTGTATAGTGAACGTCTCTCTTCAATATATACTTTCGAAAAGTCCCGATTTTGTCTACTATGGAACGATTTTTACTACAGTTAAATTATTGGAAGCCCTACAAGTCAAACATGAATAATTTTATAAGCAATTTATCACAACGAGAATGTGTACCACTCTTTGTATAAATCCTTGCAAACTGTCGTAAAACTCATGTTTCTACAGAACGCAAAGTCGTTTTTGGTGTTCCTGGATGTTTTCTATAATTCATTGGTAGCTTTTCAAATGCAGTTCAATGCATTTCAATGAAACGTAGAAAAAAGTCCCGTAAGAACTGCTAAAAAGTTGTATAGATACATCAGAGAGCGTTATAACGGTGTTTTAGCGATCTGTAGTAAAATAGCACCTCTTGCTTTTCTCGTATATATAATCTATAAGTTGCTTTACATATAAATAAGTGAATATTTACCGTCATCTAACACATGTATTTGTCGACAAAAGACAACATTCCATATTTCATCAGCTTCTTCTGGTAAAATAAGGTTAATGTTTGAGATACATGAATGATATGTATCTATTCTCTTGATCTTTGGATTTGATGAAAATAACGGTTCAACAAAATGATTAAATCGTCGACCAAGAGTCATAACTGTTGTCTCGTCAAATATGTCGTGTGAACAAACAAGAGAACAGTGCAGTTTATGATCATCTGATGTTGAGTTGTAAAAGAATGTCATTGCAAAGTCAAATTTCGCCACTGTACAAGATTGTCGTAGAGGTACGTCTGCTAGGATTATTTCATCGAAGGAAGGCTGATCGAAATTCGGAGTTACAGTAATAAAGTCGAATAGCGTTTCAAGAAATGAAACATTCGATTGATTAAGATGAAAATCAGCGAGGATATATTGAAGCGGGCAATTAGAATATTCTAGAATCGATAAACATTTGTCTCGAACATGTTTCACAAGTTCATCAAATGACCAGCTACAATCAAGTTGTAAACGATGAGGCAATGTTGAAACAAACATTCCAATCATATCTTGTAGTTCACTTCTATATCTATTAGCGTTCAGGCAAGAAACGCACAAATCAGTTAGTCCGTGAGATATTTTGAATAAAAATGCATAAAATATTGCTAATCCAAGTTGAAAAAATGTGAGATGATATGTTGATGCATAATTTAAAAATGACGACAGTACGTCATCGTCGAACGTGATCTGAGCTGTGGATGCTATACCTGATCGTTGATCAGTTGGTAAACGATGACGATCGATGGTAAAAGGAAACGGGCATTGAAAGCTATATGCATCGAGTTGTAAATACCAGAACTCACGAGATAATGTCATGTCCATTACACGTTCCAAAACAGCATAATCAATGTATTGTAGAGGCTGTTTCTCTTCTGAACATATTTCATGATTATTATATGCAAGACTTAGAACTTTGAGAAAATTTTGAAAAGATAATCTATCACATACTGTATGATGAAAACCAAATATGAGTACATCTGAATCTGTTATCTGTTCGGTATCGTAGTTTGCATTGAACAGTTGCCGTTTGCGAAGTACCTGGCAATCAAAAATCCGTCCACTTAACAAATCAAAACGATCACGATGGACTTTTCCTTTATAAATAAGACTATTAAGTTCATTATCGGTTTCAAATGTTTGCTCGTTTGTAAATGAGAATGTATGATGACGATCAGTGATGCACTGTCGTAACTTATTTTCACTATTGTCTAAAATGAGACATGTACGTAATATATGGTGCTTTTCTAAAACAGTCCGTAGAGCTCGTAATAAACGAGATATTGATAGTGAACCTTTGACAGGTCGAACAACTACCATCTCATTGTATATGGCAATTTTGTTGGAAAAACGGACTCGTTCATCAATAAAAATACGCTCTTGAGCAAATGATGCAATACCTAGGTAGATAAAATAAATTATTATTTATACGGATCTAACACAAAGCTAACTACCATGATTAATGTGTAGTGTATGCCACTCTCTTGATTGAGCGTTATCTTTGATAGCTGTTTTCAGTAATTTTGCATGTTCAGCTAACGTATCGTGCTCCAAGAACGTTCGAATTGATAGTACGTCAGTGTCAGAATGAAATACAGATTGATATGATCGATAGGGTTGAAGTGGAAGAGAATCATCTCCAAGACTGAAAAAGCTAGTAGTATTTGATATTGTTGAATCAAAATTCTTTTGTGTTTTATATGAATCAGGCTCTGTATGTATTAATCCGTGCCAAATGTTAGTAATCGTATCTTCTAATTTATTATTTGGTCCAATATTATGTATATCTTCCGTAAGAGCTAATGAATATTTTTCATCAGTTTCGAAGTTTGAACCTGTTAAAAATACTTAAACGTTTATAAAGTATGGAGCTTTTGAAAAATTTACAACGAGACTTACATGTTTGCGCAACAGTTGCTTGCTGTTTGAAAGTAACTTTTGGCAGCTGTTTGATGTCTGATAGTCGATGAGATAAGTTTGAGATAGATAGCTGAGTATTTTTGAAGCCAGTGGCTGTCGAACTTTTGTAGAAAAAATACGAGAGAAAATTCTCAAAGTGTCGACACATTTCGGACGCTGCTCTTTCTTCATAGCAATCTGTCGAACAGCCGAAAATATAATGCGTTTTCCGTTCGTGATAATTATGAATCATAGTTAAAGTAAGATCATTAGATACGAGACCCTTACTATGCAACCAAACTTCATCAATGTATAATTCTAATGTTGCATCTTTTGTTTTTGCTTCCAGGACCATTTCTTCTGTTGATAAGAGATCAACTGAGTCATATTGGAAGCAAAATGGTAGTTTCCACAGATGTGACTTATCTGCGATTTTCATGATCGTTTGATACGGTAATTGGTCATGTTCAGAAATATCAACACATAATGTATGAACACGTTGGACAAAGTTTATAAAAGACTGATTTGGATCTATACCAATACGATATGGTAGCATATTGATAAATGTACCAATCATTGATTTCGTCTCGTTTAATGGGCGATTATCTGATGGACAAACTACACACATATCGTCGATCATACCATTGTTAAGCTCATATAAAAAAATAAAATAACACGCGAGTCCCAAATCAAACATGGATACATTGTAAATGGACGCGAACTCAATTTGTGCTCGTACGACATTCGAGTCTAAGTCAAATGTGGCACTGAGACCTTGACCAGAACGTTTGTTCGTTTCATGCGTCGGAGTTGTTATTGATAAATTTCTTCCATATGGTTTATAATCACTCATCAATGTTGACCAAAACTGTTGTGCCTTGTTTATGTTTAAATTTTGATTTCCATTGGCTAATTGTATCTGTTCATACAGAGTATAATCAATGTACTGCAAATTTGTTATGTTGGTTGTTATTTCATCATATGCCTCCGTAAACGCAATAATAAACGGGCCAATAGAGTTATAATCAAAGGCTATTTGATGGAAAACAAATACAATTAAATCATTAGGTTTAAGCAGTCCATCATCGGCATTCCGACCCGTCTTGATTAAATGACAACGAAGAACGAGTCCGAGATCTAGATTACTAAAACTATTGGTCAATTCATTTTTGAGTAATCCAGCGATCTCATCTGTCGATAAGACAGTTCTTTTTGTTATTTCAAAAGAGCAATTGTTGATTCCCACGTCAGATTGAACCTTTTGCAGAAGTTTATCTTGATTTTGATCGAGATAAACAGCTGTTCGAAGGATCGTATGTTGCTTGAGAATAGTAATAACAGATGAACGAATGCGTTCAATTGACATCGTACCAGATCTAATCACCAAAGGTAATACAACATTATTCGAAGTTAATGATTTTGAAAAATCATTTTGTGACTTTTCATCAAGCCACACGCGTTGCTGAGCGAAGGAAGCTACACTCTGCTGTAATCCAGTAGCTGTAATCGTGCCATGTGACGGCTGTAACAATATTTTCTTATTTCGAATCTTTTGTGACAGCACAGCTCTCATGACTATAATTATATTCCAATCAAAATTATCAATATCTGAAAGAAGACGAAGATCTGGTGAAAAATACCAACGTTCCATACACAAGCCAAAACTGTCCGAATACAAACACAACTACAAATTGTACTATGAATTTTCTTAAGACAGAATCCATGAGTCCATCTAGCTCCTCGATACATCGAGGAGCCCGACAAATTTTGTTTCCTAGTTTGACCATCTCATTTTGTTCAACGTAGTTAAAAATTCCTAACTTCAAAATTTCAATGATTTTTTCCTGAACCGTGACAAAAATACATTGATTTTGTTCAGAGCTGCTCTCGAAATCATTACGATAATTTTCTAAAACATTTGATCAACAAATCCAGACGTTTCTGAACACTAAAGACCCAGCACTATTTTTGATGAAACAATACGAGAAGATACATCGTCGAGAGCTACACAAAATCACGCATTCACATCTTCTATTTGTATACGATGATGAGGAATTATTCATGACACGCAAACTGTTTTCGTCATGTTTTGAGTGCAAAATAAATGCGGAAACTTCGGATTTTATCCAAAAGTTATGTCTACTGCAAAATGTGTATCAGCTGGAACACAAAAGAAGTCATAGGGAAGTAGCGATAGATTTTCAATAACTGACAAGTCACTCGTCCAAACAGTCTCATCTTCGAATTTTATCGAAATCCTGGTGTGACAATATGCCATCGAAAACTTCATCACAATCAAATTACCCTACCATGAGTTGTACTGTAGATCGATGGTAGAGACACATTGATTGGTTCTAAATACGTCGGTCAATAAGTCTTTGTACTTTCAGATATTTATTCTTAGAATAAATATTCTGCTAATCTTTTCATACTAAATGTCTAAGTTAATGTCGACAATCTTTTATAGAAGGCTTCTTCGTCTGAATTCATGTCTAGAACATTTTTAGGTAATCTAGAGTATACACTAATTTGATCTCTTTTGTTATTAATTTAGCTAAACTTGTAGCATCTGAATTTTAGTACAAGCACAATTCGGATAACTAAATGAAGTCGATGTCGACGGAGCAAAATAAGACGTGTGCTACGGTTTAAATCCTCACACATTCAGTTCAAATATTTTCTCTCGCTTAGTTTTTCTCTATAGCTGTATTCACCCTTCTACATGTTATAATATCACACAATATCATCTCGTCCACCTCTTTGCCTTTCTCTCAGAAATCTGTCTGTCTTTTCCTTCAATGTGGAGTGTAGTGCAGCCTGCTCTTCTCACTTTTCATTTTCACTCGTCGTTCACGTTCTCGTTGTTCTAAAAAACATTTGAAGATCGTCTGTCTCAAAACATATAGATTCCTGTTTCCCTCCCCTAACAGTCTGAATAGTGAATAGGTCATGAGTTATAATTTTCTCCGTGAGGATAGTTAAGACTAAATACATTATCATGCATACAGTTGTATGCATTTTGACGAAGCACTGTTTTTCAATTGTAATGTTCGTTTCTGTACATTATAAACTAACCCCGTTGAATGGTCGCCGTGGTATTATATGCAATTCATCAGGTATGCCATAGTGTCAGTGAAGCACTACTGAAATGCGATCTACCTATCTTCAAGTCGCTAGGAAACTCAATATTCTGTTGAGTGATAGCGCTTATTGAATCATGGACTCCACGATCACCTTTTCAATACTCTTCCATTTGAAAATCAATGAATCTTATAGTTACTGTACTATATGAAGTAGCACATAGCCTGTGAGCAATGAGCAACTCCTCATGAATTTTCCTAGCAGCTAGGTATAACAACAAATGATCTTTCTTACAAATCGCTGAGGTCTACTTTATTCAGGTGAAAATAGAGGTGTCCAGAAAATTCATTCATGATTATCTTTAGCTGAGACTTCAAGAACGGCGGACTAGT